TGCTCAAACTCTCACAATAAATGGCCCCATTCATCCTCTCCTTAATACAGTGCAGACGTCCTGTCCCCTTCGCAGAAAAGCACCCCCACAGCATGATGTTTCCACCCCCATGCTTCACAGTAGGGTTGGTGTTCTTGGGATGCATCTCATCCTTCTTTTTCCTCCAAACACGACGAGTGAAGTTTAGACCAAAAAGTTCTACTTTGGTCTCATCTGACCACATGACTTTCTCCCATGCCTCCTCTGGATCATCCAGATGGTCTTTGGCAAACTTCAGACGGGCCTGGACATGTGATGACTTGAGCAGAGGGACTTGGCGTGCAATGCATGATTTGAAACCATGACAGCGTAGTGTTCTACCGACAGAACTGTGGTCCCAGCTCTCTTCATGTCATTGACCAGCTCCTTCCTTGTAGTTCTGGGCTGATTCCTCACCTTTCTCATCATCCGTGATACCCCACGAGGTGAGATCTTGCATGGTGCCCCAGTCCGAGGGAGACTGACAGTCGTCTTAAGCCTTTTCCATTTTCTAACAATTGCTCCAACAGTTGATCTGTTTTCACCAAGCTGCTTGGCAATTGCCCCGTAGCCCTTTCCAGCCTTGTGGAGGTCCACACTTTTGTCTCTGGTGTCTTTTGACAGCTCTTTGGTCTTGCCCATGGTAGTAGTTGGCGTCTGACTGACTGTGGGGTGGACATGTGTCTTTAAAGAGCTCAGACAGGTGCTACTAGTTTAGATTAATGAGTGGAGTAGAGGTGGACTTTTTCAAGGCACAGTAACAGGTCTTTGAGAGCCAGAATTCTTGCTGTTTCTCAGGTGTTCAAATACTTATGTTCAGCAGTGCAAGACAAATAAATTCTTTAAAAATCATACAATGTGATTTCCTGAATTTTTTTTTTAATTCTGTCTCTCAGAGTGGGAATGCACCTACAATGTGAATTTCAGACCCCTCCATGATTTCTAAGTGGGAGAACTTGCAAAATCGCAGGGTGTTCAAATACTTCTGTTCCTCACTGTATGTGCCCCACATTAAAGCCTATGTTAATCTATAACAAACTAATTGGTTCAAAAAAGGGACATCATTATGAGCTTCACACCTCCAGAGATTCAATGGACATATCGGTCATTGCAAGTCTAACAAGCAAATACTGAACCCGGCACTTTGATGACAACAGCTTAATTTTATGTAATTCTGACCACAACACACAACAGCTAACAACAGTACTGAGCAAAAAACATTCTATTTGAGAATTTACGTTGCCCTAAATGTTAATTCTGTAGTCTCAGTATGACGAGCAGCTTTACCTTCAGCTAACGTCAATTATCAGTTTCATCACAGCAGTCTTATTGTCTTTGATCGTAACTAGTTGATCTTCAAAAAATAAAAATGAGCACTTGGAGGATGCGGGCATCGATCCCGCTACCTCTCGCATGCTAAGCGAGCGCTCTACCATTTGAGCTAATCCCCCATCCATTGAAGAATACTGTATTGTTTTATAAGTTATAAGTTGAAGTTTTATAAGTTATAATCAGGTGAATTGTTTGTGAGGTACTTACGAGAAATATGTTCACATTGTGGAGCCTTCCAAAAGTGCATTTCTATTGCCGAGTTTATACAGTACCAAGCGTTTATAAGGCAGCTTTCATTCAGCATTCATTTCTCAGTGTAATTACACCGAGAACCAGCAGATGGCACAACATCAAATGAAAGTTATACACTGTTTTCCAGACTACAAGTGAAGCAGAATTCATAGGTGAAATAGTTCAGAGAAACTGAAAAGATCTCACTGAAATGCCAGAGGTAACTTATTTTCGATTCCTTCGTCCTTATGCAGCTTTGCATAAGTCATCTTTCCTCGCCTTCCCTTTCTGTCTTGGTATAGTGTCATACATGAAAACAGCACTAAAAGAAAGCTGCATTTATCCTAAATTTAAGTGCACAATAAATAAGCACAGAGGTGATGGTCCTTGCAGCAGCACCAACCACAACAAGAACTACATCTATATCAATAATAATAATTATAATCCAAGGAAAATATAACCATCATTATAAAATAATAATTTTACCAATCCATTTCAGTTATGAATTTGACTGATTATATATCAATATGACAGTAAAAATGCCTTACTGAATACTGTAGCCATATAAATAGGCTACTTACAACTTGATGTTGTACTTTATCAAATGTCAAATGCAAATCAAATGCCAAAAAACATAAAAGAAATTAAAGTCAGTCTGAGCAGATCCCTCAAGCCCGCATTTTCTTCACCATGTAAAATTAAATACATATGCCTGCATTTGAGCCTTCTGTTAACTGATAAAACAATAAGGCATCCTTCTTCCTTTCAGTTTCTTAGTACTTTCTTAATACTT